AGTTTGCCGGAATCCGAACTTCTTCTGTTGTCCGATTTCGTGAAATTTTAAGTTCGGAGGTAGACATGGCCAACGACCATGCATTGATGCCTAGTTTGGGCAATACGTGAAGTTCGGATGCGGGCGAACTTCTGTTGTTGTGCAAATACGCGGTGCAACCCCAGACCACAGCCACACCAGAGGATATTTGAAAATGCGTAGTCCGCCGGGATCCGGCCTTCCGTTGCGTGTGGGACTGCGAGTTCGGCAGACAGTTGTCTCTCTCTCTCACATACTCTCGCGAAGTCTGGATCTCGGCGAACTTCAGGTTCCCACCTTCCGCACGACATGTCTTTGGCTCGCCTGGTGCCCTGTGGATGTGGACAATAACGAAGTCTGCCCGAATCCGAACTTCACGTTATTCCGAAACGGAATCACCCAACATGCTTGCTCGAATCAGATCTTCGAACGTTAGTTGCGTCCAAGACCAAACGACGCATGTGGCGAGATCGGACGACATGCAAATTGGGGTTGATGTCGAACTTCCCCTTTTCATCGGACCTCGTTTGTGGCTGTGGTCGACCTGGTGCCTCCTGGATTTCACCAACCATGCAAGTACGGATCCTGGCACACTCGTTAAGTTCGGCTGCCAACGAACTTCGCATTTTCGCATGTTCTCAGTTCTGCCTGTGGTCTTTCTGGCGCCCCGTGGAATGCAACAAGAGCACAAGTTCGCCCGGATCCGAAATTCGCGTTTTTCCCTGGCGTGACAATCGAAATGGTTCTTCGATTCCGGTCGTCGATTGTTGGCTGCATCCGCCACCGAACTTGACATATTGCGAAACCGGATAGGAGAACAAGTTCGGATGGCGGCGGACTACTCAATCTTGTCTAGCCACCAAGGACACTGTGGTTTTCCTGCTGCGCAGCGGATTTCACCAAACACGCAAGCACAGAACCTGTCTCTCGCTCTCTATCTCTATCTTGCAGCATCCATAAGTTCGAACTTCACGTTTCCACATGCTCGTCGATCTGACTGTGGTCTTCCTTGTGCCCCTTGGTCGGACTCGCTTTGCAGTCTAACCTCAAACGACTTGTTTTTGCACTGACTCCGAACAATTTGACTACAAAGACTGCGCATTTTTCTGTCATCATTTGTTGGGTATTCACGAATCCCGATGTTAAACGTGTTATAGATAGTTCAGCTTAGATAGGCATGTACCATCAGCGGGAGTTAAGAATGGAAAAAGGCAGTTACACGAATATATCGGGCATAGCTGCATGCCCGTGTGCTTGCAGTGTCTGTACTTCAAAGCATGTAGAAACCTTGTGAATATTCAGTTCCGGACGTGACGACTGGGTGTTGGCTTCACTGTTGGATCATTTGCCGACTTTGGTTACGAGTGTCCGCATGTTCGTATGTATCATTTGATATGTGTGCGTGATGTGTAGGGTGCATAATGTCGTTGAGAACGTCAACAAGCATGAGCATGAGTCCCGAGACGCACATGCGCTTAGCAAAACTGTTCCCTCCTTGTGCGAAATCCGTGCGGCATTATAACGGTCATACTCGGATCCACGAAGCAACCAGAGAGGACTTCGAAGAGGACCCATGGATGACCTTCGTCCCGTACACGAACCAGCATCTTGACGATTGGAGCGATGCTACTTGGAAAGCGATGGAGAGCGGCTGCCCTTGGGCGACCTATTACAAGTTTGCCAATATGTTAGAGTTCGGTGACATCATTACACTGCCTGATGGTGTCTTCGAGCACAAGTTCGTGAACCATGTGCGCCTATGAATCCCCCCCGGCGGCGGACAGGCGCGGCCAAGTCCGCGGCCACGGCACGGCCACGAAGCCCACAGACGTGTCTGCGCGGACGCGCGGATTCGCGGACACGTGGCGGCCGCAGGGGAGGGGGTTTGAAGATTCCGGCAGTGCCACATGGCGGCGCATCCCCTGCCCCACCCTGCCACACAAAAAAAAGACGAAAAATATCAACTTTTGGTGGGGGGGGTATGGGCGAAATCCAACGAAAATGGGAAGAAAAAAAAAAAGCGTTTTTTTTTTGTTTTTTTTTCCTCATTGATTGATTGATTGATTGATTGAGTGAT